ACCTGTTTGCCGGCTCCATGTCCCGTGCCACTCCTTGCGATAATATCACAGCTGGGACTCTATAGGCACCATCAGATGAGAGATCACTCTGCCCAGTAGTTCCTAATAGAATACTGGGTGCTAGAACATTCTGAATGTCAAGAATCGCCACCCACCACCACTCTGCAATCAGAGGTTCCTTTCTTCCCACAGGCTGACGCAGTGACTGGCGATTTTCCACACCTGGACGCCAGTCACCCCTAGGGCACAATTAGTTTCTAAGTGCCCCGTTTACCCCACAACATGGGTGTGAATTGCAGTGTGCTGTGTTAAAATGCGGACATTTTCCCACAGTGCACTGCATGCTACTGGAGGTCTCCATCACAAAGTAAAGCACTGCCATGAGGGGACATGAATGGAGTGTGCACCAAATTAAGTTAAGGCAGCCCAGGGCAGCCCAAAACAAATCAATTGCCTTTTGCCCCACAGTGTACCTAAAACTGGACAAGCGGACAAATGGTTTCCAACTGTGTGCTGTGGTGAGCTGCAACGCACGTGCATTTTGGTATATTTGACAAGGTGTTTTAGGGTTCTCTTCAAAAAAAATTACACCTCACCACTGATTACCCTTTACAATGCGTAGTGGTAACGGGCAGTAAAAAAAGGAAAGGTCAAACCAGTGCAAGTCTGATTTTTTAGGACATTTTGATGCATTGGCAGACCATTGATCTGAATAGGCTGCCATAACGCAGTGTCCTTGAGGCCATTGTGGTAATGTACATTATGTGTGTTGGTGCAGTGGGGTACTATTCATTGTGAATGGCACCCCAATGCACTTGCATAGCAGCGCACGATCGTGCATTGCGGTGTGCTCCACTAGTGAAAAAGCTGCAGAATCCATTTTTTGTCTATTGTGGTGCACTAGGTGGCCCATTTAAATGAATGGAATGCCTTAACGCTACACACCTTAACATGCATTATAATGTGCATGCCCTAAGTGAAGTGCGACAGTTTGTCCTGGTGTGAATGGACCATTGTGAGGCTGCCACAGGTGGGAGCTAATAAACAAGCATACATGTAGCATGTAGGCTGGGGGCTACCTGCCCCCAGGTGAAATGTTCCCAGTCCTCCCCTGTCCTGAGCTCTTCCCCACCTTATCCAAAACCAAAAGACGTATTTGCTTGTGTTGGGGACAGTTATGGAGCAATGAGAAACTGGGCTATGTGATGCCAAAGACGGTCAATTCACTACAATTCAGGTTATTATCATCCTTCTTAAACCTTCAGTATTTACATTCACAAACACTGTTGTCAATGAATAAAGCTTGCCGCTCTTTGAATCCTTTTTTTTCTTCTCGCAATTGCCTCTGGGAGTTGTAGTCTCCCCACCCCGCTCTGCTTCCTTGTCTTCCTATGCACGTAGACCCGCAGCCAGCGGAAAATCAGGTCAGGCGTGGGCGGCAGCGGGTCCCTGAGGAGGGAGAGGTGAGCTGTGTGCGGGGTGTGTGTGGGGGAGGACGGGGCAGAGCTGGGCTCGGGGTGCCCACAGAGTTGTTCACTGATGTCCTGTGTTAGGGATAAAAGTTCCAGCGATCGGAGGCAGCGCTGATCGGCTGTCAGTCACAGCTCACATTGCAGTGCATGAGCTCCGCGCTGTCATCTGGAGGCTTGTACACTGTTTACTGATCGCTGTGATCACCCTGACCATTCACTCTGATGACTGGATATTGGCAACTGCACACTGCCATCAACTACACAAACCCTCTGCCTGCCTGCCAGGACTGAGCATTCACCATCCCACTGCTGGAATATACACAGTGTGTCTGACTTGTTGTGGGATGTGTTCACTGTGTGTCATGTATGGGGGCATTGCACGATCTGCTCTGTAAAGCTTTTAGTGCTAGCTGCTCTCAGATCAGTTTGGTCATGTCACAGGTCTCCCTCACCTCATCACAACATAAGAGTGACACAACCCACTCAGAACCCATCCAGAACTCACCCACAGCCCACTCAGCGCTCATCCACAATCCATCCAGAGCCCATTCACAAGCCACTCACAGCCCACCCAGAACCCATCCACAGCACACTCGGCGCCCAGGCACAACCCACCCAGAGTTCACCCGCAACCCACTCAGCGCTCATCCACAATCTACCCAGAGTCTATCCACAACCCACTCAGAACCTACTCAGAGCTCATCCACAACCCACTCAGATCCTACTCAGAGCTCATCCACAACCCACTCAGAGCTCATCCACAACCCATTTAGATCCTACTCAAAGCTCATCCACAACCCACTCAGAACCTACTCGGAGCTCATCCACAACCCACTCAGAACCTACTCGGAGTTAATCCACAACCCACTCAGAACCTACTCGGAGCTCATCCACAACCCACTCAGAAGTCATCCACAACCCACTCAGAAGTCATCCACAACCCACTCAGAAGTCATCCACAACCCACTCAGAACTCATCCACAACCCACTCAGAACTCATCCACAACCCACTCAGAACCTACTCGGAGCTCATCCAGAACCTACTCAGATCTCATCCACAACCCACTCAGAACCTAATCGGAGCTCATCCACAACCCACTCAGAGCTCATCCACAACCCGCTCAGAACCTACCCAGAGCCCATCCACAACCCACTAAGGACCTACCCAGAGCTCACCCATCCCTAGTTCCAGTTCTTATTGAAGTGAGGACTGCCAACATTCACCCACCCTTTATGTATGATATGTGCCTGCTATACTAACATCGTTTGTCCCTCTAGATTGCAACTAAATCTCAAACCGTTACCGCATTCCCCCTTTTTATCCCTCCCATTTCTTTATTTTGATTTGATGACATTTCTGTTGATTTGCAGTATCATTCCAGCTTCCCACATTGTATAGCGCTGCTAAACCTACCACTAATATAGATTTCCTTTTTGATTGTAAGCTCTGTCTGCTAATCTTGTCATTTCTATTGATTCCCATGATTGTTTTAGCTTCTCATGTTGCACAACACTGATAAAAATGTCACTGTAGTAATCAATACTTCTACTACATATCTCCATGTAGGTTGTAAGCTCTGTCGGCTAGGCTTCGCATTACTATCCATTTACATTATAGTTACAGCTCTGCTAAAAATGTCACTGTATTAATCAATACTACTACTACATATCTCCATTTAGATTATATGCTCTGTTGGCTAGCCTGGCCATTTCAATCAATTGTCATTATGGTTACAGCTTCCCACTTTATAGACCTCTGCTAAACATGCCACTGTATTAATCAATATTACTATTACCAGATATCTCCATTTTGATTGTAAGCTCTGTCGTCGAGCCTTGTCATTTCGATTCACACCATCATTCCAGCCTCCTACATTGTACAGCTCTTCTAAAGATGACTTTGGCTTAATCAGTACTACATATCTCCATCTTGTTATTAGGGTATTGATGGTTCTTTATGTGGGTCTGCACGTAGCTGGAGTGGATTCCCCCCCCCCCCCCCCTTTGCCCCCCCCCATTAGACTCAGGATAAGTACAGTTCTAGGGCATGGGACTTGGCCATAGGTAGCAGAAGGATCAGATCTTTCCATGCTGGGAGATGCACGCTTTATCCTTCCGAAGCCAGGACTGTGTGAGTGAAAGGAGATAGCAGCTTGTAGTTTAACGGGGTTGGGCTTTGGGTTCTCAAAGAACAAATGTATTGAGGAACGTCAGCAGGGATTTGCTGAGGACTAATGGTGTAATATGTTAGTCATCCATTATGTACCCCCTCTCTTCGCAGGCTCTCAATGAAGACTGATGCCTCGATTTGCATGATGTCACTCAAAGGCTTGTGTAATTGTGGGTGATCAGAGGAGCGGCAGGGTGCGAGCCCCTGCTGAGGACCAGCTTTCAACTTCTTTGTCACATCATCCACACTTGTAAAGAGCGCAGACTTGTACGCCACCAAAACAACAGCCAGTGACATGAATATTTCTGGATAATCGAAGACAACCGTATCGCCTTGGATCAGTGCTTTTCACCATCCCGCCGATACGGACGAGCCTTCGTTTGCTCTCGGATATCTAGAGGGCTATCGTTAATGGAGAAGTGAATTTGATCCAGCTCCCTAAATACCAGGATTACAACACCTTCCTTTCATTTGCTCCTTAATCAGAGCAGGATATTAGGGTGGACATGGCCAGTTCTATTAGCAGTTTTCTTCTATTATTTCTTATTCTACAAGACAGCTGTCACTGTTTCAGGAGCCCCCTGTCAGTCTTTAAAAGGTGGGTACTCTTTTGTATACTGTGTCATGTGGATTTATTATTAGTAAGTTGCATTAGGTGTTGTTTTCATGTTATGTTGGAGTGTTACAAAATAGAAACTGAGTTTTCTTTTGTGTTGCTTCCATTGCTCAATTCTTGTTTATGTTTATACATATAATATGTTCGATGGCTGCTGAATCCATATGAACCAATGTCTTGGAGATAACAGCAGACGATCCAACAGATGCCCGTTCTCTAAAGGAGAACTGCACTAAGCAGCTCCAGTCCCTTCTCCATTTCCCACAAACATCTTTTAAAGTTACTGCCGTCTGATACGTTTATTGGCTACTTTATACACAACATAAATGTCCTGGGTGCTGAAAAACCTATGCCACTGACTCAACAGGTTTGTGTCCTGTGCCCATAGCTCTAGGTGGTCCCCCATTTTCTACAGCCATATGCTGACTTAGTATCCATATGGCATGTCCATTTTTTGTTGTGTTGAGTGCAAAACTGTGACGTACTGATCTTTGTACCAATTAAAAGAGATAATGCATTAAGACGCATGTAAGGAGTGTTTAGCTTATTAGTTACATAGTATTTGAGGTTGAATAAAGACATAAGTCCATCAAGTCCAACGTGTGTGTGTGTGTGTGTGTGTGTGTGTGTGTATGTGTATAGGTCCATGAGTGTTCTCATTAGAATTGTGAAAACTCTGTTCACCGAAGGCAATCCACTCATTGACATTACCCATATGAGGCTCACCACACCCGTTACAATCTGATTGTACAATCTGCTTTAGATCTACCAACAACTATGTAGTTCAAGGGTCTGATTGGCTACAGATTGTTTGGATAGTTTAGGTAGGTCCTCATATTTTCTAAAGCTGAATGGTCCTGTTGTAATGTAATGCTCCTAAGGTGACATTTACACTAGGTGCGATTAGAGGCGTTTCTATGCGTTGAAAATGGTTTTATAAATGCATATATTTGCATCTAATGATTTCTATTCACACCTTGAGTTTAGATGCTTTTTTCTTAAGTCCGTTTATCTGCATTTAGAAAAAAAAAAAAATAGAAGTCAGGATTTGATTTGAACTTCTAAACGCATGTAACCGCAAGACCTGCTTATTTGCTTGAATCTCTTTGGCCACTTCAATGGACAAAGGACATATGTATCTAAACGCATCTGCGTGCAAATGCGCACATCATTATAAGCACGCAGAAGCATAAACAAAGCATTTTGCAGACAGATCTCTGCATAAAACCGCAACTGGCGAGTGTGACCGAAGCCTTAAACAGAAGTTGATCTGATGACAGCAAACCGATGTGGTTGCTATAGGTTACGGCCCGTCATAATTGCTCGTAGTAAATGGTTTCCCCCGTCAGTTCTGTTAGCATATTCTATTTCCTGCGTGCGTTTGTGTGCTTTTCATATTGTGTATTTGTCTTCCATTTCCTTCCATTGGAAAGCCCGTCAAGCATTTCCTGTTTTTATTCTAAAAATTGCGATCTGATATCTCAGAAAGCACATTGGAATCCGAGCATCCTCCTCCGCGAGATTCTAAATGCATCCATCTCCATAATCATGGCATTAAATATTGATGCGTGCATATATAATTCACCACAGTGCCCAGAATATTTCTCTCCATATGCTATCACCTCTTCCTATTGTAAGTGTTCCGCCGCTTCCATTATTCATTCACAGCTTTGTCTGAGAGGCTGCTCGCTTCTCAAGTCATCAGACGGGAGAGCGCAGTGTGTTGCTGGAAATCTGTCCCACCTGAGACCGAAGCGCAAGCGCCATATGTCAGCCCAAAACATCTAAAGAAAAGTTTTGGGTTGTCTAGGATATCCCTAGCTACATCCGAGTATACGGCTGTCATCCAACTCCCGGGATACGCCAGAGAAAGCTCAGCATGTTTATTAATGCCACAGAGACCTATAACATTTCTGTATCTCTGCCCAGGGGAAATTCATAAATCAATGTATCTGTAATGTAGATAAACGGCAGCTTTAATTGTATGATCCACAGATCAATCGTAATCTATTGACCGCACAGTCTGGAGTATACTCCTTATTTTCACCGTTGTTTTTGTCCAATATTGCTACGGTTATTATATACGTCTTGGATGGGGTTAGCCCGGATCAGCAGATCATAAATAAGAAATGTTAGATTTTTTTTCCCTCAGCCCTGTTACTGGCTAATGAGCAATATCACTTTCTGTAAAGTTGTGAAAAGGTGTTTTTGAAATCGCTGATAAGTGTGCTGATGGGATGCAAAGCTTCTGTAGAGTTAGACGTGTGCATGAGCTTGTCATGTTATTTGTACGTGTCTCTGTTTATTTTATATATGAGCTCTGTTCGGCCTCATTCACACTGCCGTGCGCGTACGTGCGTATTGTACCATATGCAACCTATGCAAATAAATGGCTCCATACACACAGCATCGTATTGAGCCGTATATTTGCGTAGCGTCTATATGCGCAAAAACAGAATGGAACAGAAATGCGCCCGGGCAGCGTATCTCTGCGTATTTACGCACAGCACATAAAAAAATTCCATTACTAGTGATGCATTCTGGTATTGCATATGGTGCACGCATATACGCGCGTATATAGACGCGTATATACGCAATATACAATTTTGCTTGCGTTGTGTGAGAATGAGGCCTTCACATCTATGTGACGTGGGTACTTGATACTAAATATACGGTATTGGTACATCCCTAGCCGGAACACATGTGCATGCGTTCCGGCTAGGGATGCACAAATACAATTTTTTGCTATTGAGTACGAGTGCCGATTTAATTTTATTTTTTTTACGCTACTCGCCGTTACTGAATACCGATACCGGAAGTCCCATTAAGGAAGCCAGGCGGTGTGTAATGACTCGCCGCCCAACTTCCTGAATAGCAAGAAGACGAAGCATGGAGCTGGCTTTTTGGCCAATCAGGAAGCCGGGGGGCGTATAATGACTCGTTGCGCGGCTTCCTGATTGGTCAGCTTCCCGACTAATCAGGAAGCCGGGTGGCGAGTCATTACAGTGTAGTCTAGTCTAGCAGTCAGACAGGTCCAAGGATCGAGGGATTATAAAGTCATTACCCGCCCCCCTGCTTCCTGATTGTTTGGGAAGCTAGCTCCATGCTCCCTCTTCACTAGGTGATGAAGCATGGAGCCAGCTTTCTGGCCAATCAGGAAGCCGGGGGGCGGGTAATGACTCTATAATCCCCCGATCCTTGACCTGTCTCACTGATATACTATATTAGCGTGTAGTCTAGTCTATTAGACGTGAGGACGCTGAGAGACATTCCACCACTGTAGCGAAGGGG